AAGAAGAAGAAGAAGAAGAAGAAGAAGAGATAAATATCTAGATCCCGCAGAGATTAAAATGGTTCCGTTCTCTTGACCATGCATTAGGTGAATTGAGCATTCAAAAGCAAAGACCTGAAGAGGCGGTAGGTTATCTATTATCGTCCAGAGGGCGAGCTAATAATAATAATAATAATAATAATAATAATAATAATAATAATAATAATAATTTATTGATTTATAGTGCGTTTTTTAACATACCAGGTGATCAAAAGCTAGAAAGAAAGGGCGTGAAAGGGCGTATGGGCGTTACAAAGTCCAAGTGATTCTTCTGCACCTTGGCTAGAATCGAAACTAGAGGGATTTCAACACTTTTATTCTTTGTTGTTAACCACTTAAAAGCATAAACTAAACAGCTAAGCAGATTCTCTTGAATAATACAATTTAAAATGTGAACGTAGTATAATTACAATCTCATCGCGAAATATTTTGAAATGCCTCTGGGCTTAAAACGGTTGAGTTCCCCTCGCCCAGGCTAAAATAAAGAATTCAAAAACAGTGCTTTGAAGAGGCAGCAAATTATCTGTTGGCATCGTTGGCAACCAAGCGCGAACACGTCACGAAAGGGAAAAAATGTATTTAAATGGAGTTTGCATGACTGGTCATTAGACTTAGTTATAAATCATTTTGAAGCATGGTTTACAATTACATGCTTGATCCCAGCCGACATCAAATGAAGTGGAAGTTAGGTGTAGAAGAAGAACTCCCCAGGCTGTTCGCTTCACCTGATCTCCCATCAATTAATTTCTTTGTACGACACCGAACCGTGACCGTCCAAATAGCTTCACACTGTTGTGTTCACTTGTAGGGAAACACCTAACCTGAAAAGATATGATACCAAATACCGGGTTCATTTTATAATTCCAGATCACTGAATAAACGATTAACCATCGAACTGTTACCTTTCTCCAAAGTATTCCATATTTAACTCAGATTTGTTTCGTGTGCACGTGATCGACATCCGTTAGATCGAGGACGTCAATAGATCAATCAAATCATTTTTGCAGCTTTCTACTGGTTTTGGTCACAAAGGGCGTGACAGACGTCAAATGACTATATATACACTACGATTATCAAGCTCATCATTTACTTCTAGCTGCTGCTTCCGATCGGAGAACGAAGACTTATCTGAAGCCTGAACACTTTTGGAAAACCAAGGTATGAAAAGTCCGGTGTATAGTTATACCCTAAACTTATTACCCCGTTTTTTAGGATACACCACGTAGAGTATTCAAGCTCGCTCGAATATACAGTTGTGGGAATCCAAGCGCATCCAAGGGGCCCGCTTTAGGTGATGTACACCGGGGTATTCAATCGAGTATTCACGGAGGTTCAAGTCCACTATTCAAGTCGAATTCGGAGGCTTACCTTTCCCGTGCTTAGGCTTTAAGGCGACCTATCCCGTGCTTTGATGTGATTGCATCGAAAAAGAAGAAGCATCGCTAAAGATGTTTGTAAAACTTGGTCCACTTAATAATTAATTTACATTGAAGAAATTCTGTGAAAACAGGGCTCAATGCTCTTTTCTTATCGCAATATCTATGGCCGTTTTAGTTACCATTTGGGCAACGAGGGTTCCCTTAAGAGCCTCAGTAATCAGGAAGGGAACTGTTAATAACTTCTGAAGAAAGTTCACCATCTTTCGTTAAAATATTGGAGCAGTTAAAAAGGAACAGATTGTGGTACGAATTTAAGTATATGCTGTATGGCACATATCTGGGATTTTGTTAAGACATGTTTTGGAAAAAAAAACAAAAAAACGGAGATAATAAAACGAGTTATAGAATTTGCTGCATACGCACGACCCAGGATTTTCTTAATAGTTATCCTTAATCAACCGTTAAGGCATCCAATTAAGATAACTCGAGGAATTAAGCGCAGCCAGCTAAGGTGGCGCAATGAAATTGAATGGAATAGTCTTGTTCAGTTCTTTTAATATTCAAATGTCCTCCGGCCAAGAAATCCTCTACATTTCTATTCTACTTCTACGTGAATTACTTAAGAACCTGATCTCTCTAACGAAACGAATTCCATACTGGCGTAAAGTTAAATGTCAATTTTAAAATTTTAAAGATCTCCGTCAGCACTTACTCTGCTGTTTCCGTTTGCTTGAAAGCCTGGGCGTACTATTGTTTAACTATTATTCCGTACCTTCGCTAGAATTGAATTAGCGTGATTTCAAATTAAGATTTTTATTCTTTCATACGAACAAGCCATATCACTCACCCGATGAAAAATAGGCCATTGCTGTTTATTTTACCGTTACACCTCGGATAATTTCAAAATGTGAAAATATCTAAATAAACCGTGTCACCACTAAATATGGTTCAGTTCTCTTAGCTTTGAGTGCACCGGAGCATTAAAAACAAGTGCTCTGAAAAGACCGCGAGTCATCTGTTACCATCGAGAGGGGGAAACGGAAAGAACGGGCGTGAAAAAGTTCAAGTGATTATTCTGTACCTTGGTTACAATCGAAGTTAGCGGGGTTTCAAGTTTTATAGTTTAGTTCCCAAGGACTTGGTTTAATTGAGCATTGAAGAACAGTGCTTTGAAGAGCCGCAGGTCATGTACTATTGTTGTTGTTATTATCTGTTATAGTTTCATCCAAGCGCGAACACGTAAGAAACAAACAAAAAAAAGAGTCTTAAAGACTCTCACTGCTACGCATAGTTGTCATGAATCAACTGAGATGCAACTCAGATGTAGAAGAAACACTTCTCAAGCGGTTCGCTTCAGAGTTGATTTCTCACTGGCAAATTTCTTTGTACACCCATCGAAGCAAGACATCCAAATAGTTTAACACTGTTGTAAGGTCAATCGCAATATTTTCGTAGCTTTACTCTCCGGTTTTTCTCGAAATGTGCGTAACAGACGTTAACTGATGTATAATGATATTAAAGGAGCCCAGTCACGGTATTTTAAGTTATTTTCGCCGGCCACGTGCAAAATTACCTTTAAATTGAAGAAAACCTGAAAATAAGAGTTTACTGAGATAAAAACAAAAAAAAAACAAAACAAAATAAAACAAAACAAAACAAAACAACAACAACAAAAAAAACAAAAAACAAAAAATAAGAATAAGCCATAAAGGAACAAGGATGGTAAAGGTGGAAAACATAACAAGGATTTTAAAGGGAGAACTTGAAAAAGCTAGGCTAAACTTTTCAAGATGTGCGGCGCAGTGGTATGTCCAATTTGGAAAAATTTAGAGAACTTCGAACAAGAAAAGAATCACGTTTAGCTACCATGACTACTCGAAGTTTCCATAGTTTGTTTTGATGAATTGGACCAATATTCAGGCTTGTGTTCAATTGAGAAGTTTGTGTGATAGCCATTTCAGAGCATGTTTGACATATTTATTCCTTGTTCTTTTTTTCTGATTATGGTTTGCAGACATGAAATTCCTCGTGACGTTGTGTCTCCTGGCTGTTTGTGCAGTTTTGGTGTCCTCCCGCTTTACTGGCCGAAATCCATTCCGTCGAGGATACGCTATGCGCGACCCGCGACCCGACAACGAAGCACGGGATCCAATTGAAGTGTTTTGCTCCACACAAGTGCCAAACTGCAAGACTAAAGGCCAAGCCTGCCAATTAAACAGCGATTGCTGCCTCTGCCCCACAAAAGGAGGATATTATCCTTGCATGATTTGTAGTTCATATGACCATACCTGTTTCATGTAAGTTTTCCCTGTCGCTGGGAGACCATAATTAGGTAACAAGTCTATTTTGACTAGCCTGTAATAAGTCATCTTCTGGCTTTGTAGATCAATCAGTTGATTGAGAATTATTTTCGTGCATGATTTGCAGTTCAATGTATTGATAAAAAGCGTTTTTAATTAGTACGTTTCCCTGGCAGTTGGGAGAATACATGTATTAGGTGCTAAGACTTACTTGTAATAAACCATTAACGCTCACTGTTTATTGAATGGCTTGAGGCGTGTATAAAAGTAATGAAGGTATTTTGAATAGTATTCCATTCCGGCTGGGTTCTCTTTTTAACATTGTGCGTGATTATGTGGCCTTGATTATGTGTAACAAATGCTTTATTTTATTTTATTATTTTTTATTTATTATTATTTTTTTTTTGACAAGAGAAACGAGCTCTATCCACTGTGGGCTACCATTTGAGAAGAAATTAGCTAAACAATCAACACTTCGCAGCTCTTTTTTCTACCTACACCCATCAGTATTTCTTTGTTGGTGACTATTTAAATTTTCTTCTATTGTCGTACAAATTGCTCATAGTTGCTTACACAAGTTTTTCTGACTGCACTAGCTTTTTTTTTTTGTAAAGCCTATTCTCGTTCTTCGCTTAGGCGGAAGTCACTCGTATTCCGAGTAGGTCTATATGTCTACTAAGTCCATCGTAAGACTTCTTTTGCACCTCTTCCTCGCGT